CAGCACAAGCTCCTGCCCCACCTGCCTCTTATACTTGGGGCTTCTTAGCTTTGCTCTTTAAGGAGGAAACCAGAAACAAAATTTTCCTTTTTGAGAAGTCCTTCTCAAGGCATTTTCCCAGAGTCCTTGAAAGGATATGTGTAGGGGTCTACCTAATTCAAGGAGGCAGCTGTCTGATTTCACGGGAAGATTGCAGGGCCAGACACTATATTTACAGGCTGATTGTGGCAGGCCCCCATGCCAATGATTGGCTGCAAATGTGAGGGGCGGGGCCCCTATTATTATTGTGGGATCTCGCGATTGCACGGACATTACCTGCCTTCATGGGCAATGCCAGATTTCACCGTTTCCAGGAAATCCGCAAAATCGTTATTTTAGTAGGTCTCTAGAGATGTAACTCTAGACAGATGTAGGGAAAGCATCAATATGCCAATTTTTGCCATAACTCCACCCTTCAGCTCCCTCAATGTGTAAGTTACACAGATTGATGCTGGCTAATTACACTGCCATAATGATTACAGATGATTAGCTTACTGAAAGATCCTACATTTTCTAGACAATACATAATACAGTAATAAGTTTACAGTGCTGCCTAGACTCATCATTAAATTTATATGAGCTCTGTAGGCCAAATTCAGAGATTAAACACGTAATGGTTACTTTCATGCACAGCTGTGGATAGCTTCTTTTTGGGTGTTATAATTGGTCAGTATATATCATATATATTGATTATTATAATACAATTGAATGGCACATTTCACTAGAGCTATTAAGGTAATAACAGTGTCAGGGCAATTCAAGCCACTTGGATTATACAGTCCCAAATGAGGGAATGGAATAAGTATTGAAAGCCACACAGATGATCACCCCCCGTGATGTAACACATACACATGACAACAGTTTTGCTTTCAGGAATTTGGGGTGCAGTTTCCCCGAGCCCCTGCAGCGATCTTCTTAAAACTTGACAGGCTTCATGCGCTCAGCAGAGGCTACAAACCCTGCAAAATTCATCCAGATCAGACAAAACAACAAATTTACAGAAATTTCATTGTTTCCCCATTATACCCTATGGCTGGATCGCCGAAGTGCTTCAGAAGCTCCAAACCGCTTCAGAAAGCCTAATGAAGCCAGGGCCTCAATCCGGACACACTGCTTCGGACACCAAAGCGTCCAAAGCTTCTCCGGATCCAAAGCTCTGTCCAAAGCCTCACACAGCCCTAATCTAGGAGCATCCTATGCAGTCTTAAGATAGAAAATTAGTTTCTTTCCTCCAGAAACTGAAGTTGCATTCATTAAATACAGCTGCAGTCATTGTATCCAAACAGTAACCCTGAAAGGGGACCATGCAGGGGAGATCTATGAATAAAACTGACAACACCCCATCTGCCTCCACTTGCTAATATAAAAAAGCTAAAGAGGAACTCAAGACCGTAGTGTTGTAGTTCACAGCCTCAGGCTTGCTTATATGGTGCTCATTGTCTTTGTTTCCATATTCCATTTGCATTACAAGACAGTGAAAAAGCTGATTACTTTTCTGTGTATACAATGGTAGCCATAGGGGTGTCATAGATATACAAATGGGAGGGAGACCAGGTTGCTTGATAGCAAAAGGGAATGGGACGTGTCCACAGGACAGTCTAGTAAGCTGCAGCCCGTGTTGTCTTGGAGAATCACAGCTCTTGTGGGGAGACTGACACACAACAGTGAACATGCTGCTATAGCAATACATAGTGTTACCTTGGACTGTGGATTTCAAAAATAAGCACTTGTGTTCTACTGGAGCATGAGATGGAGGTGGTGGTTGCCCTGCAAACTCCCTAAGGTGACCAGTAGAAATGAGTATTGTACCAGTAAGTGTCATAAATTAGACAAAATATGCATTACTTTATTCATTATTCATTATGATTATCCAGGAGGAACACTTTTGTTTTCATTAATGTGTCAGAAATAAAATTGTTTGTAAGTAGTATCTTTCATGCACTTTATGTCAAACAGAATAAAAATGCCTCTGCTGTTATCCTATACTCATCTTGTTGTACAGAACATGCCCCAGAGTAAAAGATGCACCTTGATTTTGAAAGGCAGAATGAAAAAAAACAAAAAAAATTCCTTGTGTGTAACTGAGTAGCAGCAGCTGGTGAGCTGAGCCTGCACATTGTTCTTTTTCCTATGCTTCCCTACAGATTTTATTTTAATGTTTTCCTGGTATGTGGCAGAAACTGTTCTTACTATGTTTCTCACATATAATGTGCACTACAATTTCAAGTGGCGCATTTTTTTTTTTTTTGGAAAAAAGGTGTGTGCCATATGTGAGGAAATAAGGTAGATGATGTGTAATATGCTACATTAGTCAAATTGTTCTTATTTTAACACTGTTCTTTCAGGCTTGGAGGAGGGGTGGGGGTCAGCCCCTGGCTCTGGATCGCAGCTTTGGGTGGTGGAGGGGCTGGCTGGGGCATGAAGGTAGTACAGTAAGGGGTTAGGTGGCAGGCTGTCCCTGTACTGTAGCACCCTTGTACCCCAGCTAGCTCTGGTCACAGTTTACATGTGAATTGAGGCAGTGTAAATTACTCTGCTCTAGTATAGTACTTGTCCCAGACAGTACTATCTTATGGCAGAGTTATTAATTTACAGTGCCCCAATACAGGCACACGTGTAGATGGTGACACTTACTGCAGAGCTAATTAGTCAACTGCAGTAAAGCGTACACATAGATGTAGCATGCACAGGTAATGATGCATGCTACATTGGTCCCATTCAATTCACCTTGGGAAAGCATGCCAGATAATGTCCATTCCCACTAGGGAAGTTTAGGACATGCTTTCACACACAGAAAGTGATTGAGTAACAGAAGCCAATACAATGACTATTTGACATTCTGAAGGCATAATTCTAATGGGGATAACAAGATTGCTAAAAACCACATAACTGAAGAGTTTTAACACAATTTATTTTATGCTTAAATAATCAACTAGATCATCCAGTGTTTGTTGTTTTCATACATATGTCATTAGAGCTATTATCAATGAGTGCTGTTTTCATGTGAATATAATCAACAAATTAAAAGATTTCACCAAACCCAAATAAAAATGCCCTTTAAAACACAGCAGCCTTAACAACCTAATATTACACTGCTAGAATGATTACAGATGATTGGCTTACTGAAAGATTCTACATCTTATAGCCAGTACACAATACAGTAATAATTTTACAGCGTGCTGCCAGTCTATTAGCTAATAATTTCTCCTCAGTTCATTTTAAAATATCCAAAACTTTTGCTCCTTAGAGCACCAACCCACCTCTAAAGCTGCAAGCATTACCCCAGTATAAAGCGAGAACAGATAGCACACCCCCTATAATGCATCTACTGTATATGTTATGTTTTTAGATCATTTCATTGAAAAATTGGCAACCGCAACAAGTATTAGATGAAGGGCTTTGTGTTTACAGATAAAATCGTATTTTTCATGTTGCAGTATAGTGTTTGCAAAACTGGAAAAGACTTAATCAAAATAAGGTGAAACACATGCATCAAAATATTAGTACTCTGAAGAAAAATTCACAGAACTACAGAATTCCTCATTTTGGGAATCATTTAAATTTTGCAGTAGATTTTAAAGATTTTTTTAAAATCAAGCTAGCATTTTGCATATACAAACATTATAATTGATAATATACAAGAATCTGTGAAGATGCACTCAGAATATCCCTGTAGGTGTAGCTATTTGAGTCACCTGTTATGTTCAATATAGTCGCAATATTCTGTTTGTGATCTAAGAGGCAGTGCCTTATCAACACTCATTTTATTTTCTGTCAGAATTTATACAGTGTTATTTATTTACAGCAAAACTATTGATGTTTAAAAAAGAAACAAATAGTGTTTTATACCCTGACAGTTTGGGTCCAAGAAAAATAAGGCGAGCTGTTGTGGATTTAATAATTTTAGTGTCTTTCTGTGGTTTAATCATTTCATCATCTTATGTCCCCACTGGTCACAGGAATTTATTTCTTTTGTGATGACATCAAATTGCTTGACATAAGCTGTTAACAGCGTGGCATTTCGTTTATACACTGATTTGTTAATTGCACGCTCTCCAATCCTGTGAATGAAAGTGAATGTCCATGCTCTGTAAATTAGCTCATGCTAAATTAATCTTGTTTGTTTGTTTTTTCATTTTGTGGGGTTTTTTGCATAAAAACCATGCGGTTAATGTGTGGAAGCAGCAAACACACGCACACTTTATCAGTGAATGTTTAATTCCTGTTGATTTTTTTTTTCTTCCATGACTGTTTCTCTAAAATACTGGCAGTAAAAGCACACATTCCTGTGGGGAAAAAAGATAGTAGAAAATGATTTCAGAATATCTCATCAGGGTCAATTTCAAATTTTTCTTTTACAATGTGAAAAAAAATTAAATTAATATTACAACATTCTCTGATAATAGGATAAATCTAGATATACAATATATAGAAAGATAAATTAGTTAAGTGCCCAGTATGATGGTAAATGTCAGCATACAATATTTTCCACTCCTGACGAATTGGCATTTAAAAGCATTTGGAACACATTACATTTAATTACAGATGGAAACATAACAGCTTTTGAAACATGGCTCTAAGAATGATGCACTGACTTTGCATGAAAGGCAGTGCAACTCTAATAATCCTTGATTTTTTTTTTTTTTGTATAAGTGGTCATCTACATTCTGGTCCTGATCCTGTATTCCCTGCATATTCAGATCTCCCACTGACGTGGAAACTACCGATTTTAAGAGAATAGGGAATGCAGCATCACAGCTTATTGAGGCTATGTGCAAAGCACATGCCATTAGTTTAGGAATATGTTCCATTGATTTATACCATATATTTCTCATTGGCCACTTGGCTTAATTTGGTAAGCAAGAATAGTATGGGTAAAATAGGAAATATAACTCATACTCTCTTGCTTATTTGAAAATGGTCAAACTCCTCCATGTAGTAATTGCAACTGTTAGGGCTGTGCGAAGCTTTGGTCACTGATTCGATTTGGAGGAGATTCGGCCTGATTTGGCAGCCGAATCTCCGAATCTGAATTACTCTCTCCGTATTGAACCAGAAGCATCTGATTAGATTCAGAGAGATTCAGTGATTTGGCCATAGACACAGCTTTTATATATATATTTTTTTCTATGTACCTCGAGGTACCAGGCCCAGCTCATGAACACTGAGATGGTGAGGTGGATGGAGCATCCCATGGGAGTATGGGGGGGTCCCCAGCATGCTCGGTGGCAGACCCAGAAGTGGACCAGTAGCACTTGTGGTCCACTTTTGGGTCTACCACAGAATGCGCAGGAGACCCTCCCCTGCCCCCCAGCTTGGTGACTGGTGCCTCCTGGGTCTGGGGGGGCACCCGGGGTCCCCTTGCGGCCAACTTTCAAGCCAGAGGGGGTGTGGCGGAAGTCCCCCACACGCTCGGCAGCAGACCTGGAAGTGGTAGCAGTAGTGCCAAGCCACTGCTCAGAGCCTGGCTGGAAGCCAGAGCATGGCTCTGTCCAGCCAGGGTCCAGTTTTGGGTGGCGCATGGTGCTGCCACATGTGTACCACGTGGCAGCACCATGGTGCACATGTGGCAGCACCTGATTTTTCAAATATATGTTTGAAAAATCATGTGCACCACCATTTTTAGTGGTGGTTTATTTTTATTTTTTTGACACCGAGATCTCCCAGTGCCAAACCCCCCGGTGTGCTGCAAATTAGCAGCATGACACATAGATGCACATGAACACATGCAGTTTGCAGCATCTCAAATGGCTTTGAGGTGCCACACACCGCATGTATGCACTTGTGGGGGCACACCCAGTGGGGTTATTCATATGCTAAAAATTTGGCATATACTTCTCTGAACAATAGCCAGAGTACTCAGAACATCACAGGATTGAATCCCAATTTTGGTACGTTCCAGTCACTGCAAAGGACTGGGGATTCACTGTGTAAATTATCTAGAATGACATTAATATCAGTTTTACAGATGCTGTTTATCTGTTTCCTCTCTTTTCAGTCCCTAAAGTCTGTCCTCCATAAGGCTGTGTAGGAAAAAGAACTAATTGTGAGACACTAAATTAAAAGATTAAAAAAAGAACCAGACCCAAACAAAATTAAAGAGTGTGCAACAGGGAAACCTAGCCCTATTACTAGAAGGCAGGTTGGTCTCTTTAAGACTAGAACTTTCTGGGTGCAGCGTGATGGTCAGGTGCGGGTTAAAAGCCAAGCCTGGCCAGCTAGTCAGGTGGCCAGAAGGGGGCAGGCCAGAACTATAAAAACCCAGGGTGGGGTGGCAGTAAGGGCCAGGAGCCAAAGGGGGAAGGAGTCTGTATAAGGGCTCCACAGAGAGGCTTGGTGAGCGGTCCAGCTGCTGCAGGAGGGGAACTACTGAGGACTCTCAGAGAAGTGGCAGCAGCCCCAGAAGAAGGACCGTAGCAGATGGTGGGGAGCAGAAGCACAAACCCCTGAGAAAACATAAGCTGGCATGCTGTCTTCTTTAATTATATTTTGGTGGCAGTTATAACCCATGGACAGACTATTTATAATTTTTGATTGATTAACAACCGGTAGTTTGGGGGAGGCTATTGGGGAAGAAGGAGGCCTCATTAGGGGCCCACTACAGCATGGGGACCCTGGTGCCAGAGAGAGCAGTCATAAAAGGCCAAAGTGGCCTGGTACACCTGTGGTGCTGGTTTGGTTTTTTTTGGAAAGGGGCACTGAAGTTTCAAGGCTGCAGCCCAGCTTTGAACTTGCAGCCTCCTGGCAGTGGGGCCGGTGGATGGGCCTCTGGGCTGGGGATGCTGGGCTCCAGATTGGGGTGAAAAGGAGGGCCATGAGCACCAAGACCAAGGAGCTAGAGCCTCAGAATCAAACCCTATCTGGTGCATTTGGACAGGGCGGCTTAGCTTGAGAAAGATAGGGGTGGCAGAGAACCCCAACATACAAAATACAATAGGCAGTCTCCCGCTTACAAGAACATCGGTATAATATTTCCATGAAGACATGGCAGGAGAGTAGAAAGCGGGACACAAGAAACCTTAAGGGGACTTCAAGGGTGCCCCACATAGGTCGCAGATAACACAAAAGATGGCTCTGGGGAGGGCGACTTGTTACAGAGTAAGATAACCTTATAGAGTAAATACATAACAAGGAAGGAATAATTGTACCAAACAGCAGTAACCTGGAGACTGACCTTTCTTACGTTTACAATCGTATCTGCTAGGTTGCTAGACAAAATAATTGCACTGGCTGTAAAAGTAGCAAGCAGAAGTGTAATGATATCTTACTCTAAAGCTGGTTTAGCTTTTCTTTTTGAAGATACCATAAACAGCTAGTTGCTGTTTCATTATAACTATAAATTTTGGCCAATAAAATCCACAGGACACATTTTAGTAAGGATTATTTGTTAGCAAATGTTTACACTTGTTACTGGATTTTATTTTACAAGGATATTGATTTCATGACAAGTCTTAGATCTGACTCTGGGAGAAGTGCTTCATTTATTGCACACTGTTTACATTTACTTGTATGCAAGTAATTTACTAGTAATATCCATATCTGACTATAAACAGAAATGTCGTGGATTATGAACTGCATGCATCTTGAAACTCCACTCCCATATATGTTTGAAAAAAAATATTGCAAACATTTTGTAGTAAGATTAGGCCCTGGTCCTCCATAAACTTTATCTTGTGCTTAACTTGAAACACAATGAGGTAGCCAAGTCCAACTTACTGTGTGTGAAGTTAATGCAATTCATACATGTTTGCATGATGTAGGCTGTACAGTGGACTTCCCAGGCTAAGAGAGATGGGCAAGTGGGAGAAAACACTTCATGTGCTCACTGGTGCACAAACACTGTGTTTGCTCCAGACTTAACAAAGGAAAGACCCATTAATCAAACTGACCGTTCAGTGTTCTGCTGTTAGGAGTAACTCTTCTTCTCCATATGTCTGACTTCTTTCTTTGTCTTAACCTTACAACCTTCTCCCTGCTTTAATAAAGAGGGATAAACATCAACACATTAGGCAGAAAGGGTTTGTAATGATAAACCTGCTTCTAAACAGGTCCCGTGTAGCTGTAATAGGATAAGTAAAAAAAACAGTTGCATCACATTAACACATCATTTCAAAGATACACACAATCTACAGCCTTTACCACACTGTTGAGCTGCTAAAAGCACAGGCTTGAATTATTATTTAAAATATACAATAAAAAACTGGAAAACACAGGTCTAAATTTTCAAAAATATCAACCCTTTGAGGTATCTCTTGCTAGGTGCCCACCATGAAATTTCTAGGGATGACCTTCTGCACTTGTGATGGATTTGTGCATGCTGATCAGTCATGGAAAAAAGTCAGACTATTAGGTGTTCCAGGTGGGCACCCAGATTAAGCCAACATTTTTGAAGATTTAGGCCTTTATGGTTATGCTATCTCACAACAATATTTTTTAGAGTGAGTAGGTTAGTAATGGAAGAAAGGGCATGGAGAGAGAAGCCAGCAAAAAAAGTCCACCAAACCACAGCAGAAGAACTAAACTCTAGGAAAGTGACAAGCAGTGCAGGTTTCAGTCTCGTGTTTTAAAAGAGCAGGCCTAAAGGGGAAGTTATTCCAAATTCATTTAAAATAACTCAATATTATTCTACAAATTAATGCCTCAGTTCACATCAGATTGAGGTATATGTTGTGTCGGCTATCAGTGGAATTTATTCTTGTGGGTGATTTATGTCAATGTGTACATAACTGTAGCTTCTAACTATTTCAAAGGAAATTACAAGTCCATTTTTAATACCTAAACAGAATCCTGTTGTTTGAGAAGATTAAAGAATTGAGGAGGGGATGGAAGGATAATCAGCAGACTGACCAGTTTAAACCCTGCACAAAGGCAGTTGTTCCTGAGCCTTTTGAGTTAAATCTGAAATTGTGATTCTCTTTTTCCTTTCCTCTTCCCTTGTGGTACTTTTGGGGGGCAGTAGGGGAAGTTCCCTTGACATCAGTGATAATTTTAAAACTGAGACATGGCTCAGGTAGCCTGCAGCTTCACTAGCACCTCTAAAGCAAAGCCTGTATTTGAGAATGTAGAAACAGCTACAGCCTCCTGAGAGGAGTGTGCTATTTTTTTTCAAAGGTGCAGTATATCTTCTGTGCTTTCAGTCAGCTCTTCTGGCTGGGAGAATGTGTGCACCTGTATAAGTACATGTAGGGGTAGGGAATAACCCCGCCTTTCTGTCTCTGAGCCATTTTAGGATGACTTGTACCTCACTGGGAACAGAGAGAGAGCAGTTCTTAAGCTCCAAGGAGTACAAAGATTACAGTTGTAAGTGGCTCCTGTATCTTTGTTAGGGAGGGCCAAAGCACTTCTAGCCCTGCTATCCTTATACAGCTGCAGAGAAGCTGGCATAAAATGGTCCCTAGGAAGGACTTGGATTTTGGCTGCCAAAGACAAACATTCTTTCCTGACATTCCCTGGCTGGTTCCTCTGTACAGCACCACAAACCGTATGCCCAGCATGTTAAAATGTGCTTCACGCTGCAAATTTGCAACACGGAGGTAAAAGTTTCTACTGGGAAATCCCAGTAGCAAAAAAACCACCACCAAAGAGCAGTGCAGCACACACAAGATCATGTGCTGGCAGGCAGAGGCATGATCCCCCCCTCCCCCCCCCGACACTCTGGCTGCTGGCCAGAGGATGCCCCCTGTCCTCTAGTTCTGCTCTGCTGGGAGCCAGAAGAAGCAGGGAAATGGCAGTTTCCTTGAAGTGGGGCATTTTGTTCTGCACCAAAGTGCACCCGTAGGGGCATGTGCAGCGGCAAAATATACTGGCACAAACTTGTGCTGCTACGTTTTTTGCTGCTGCAAGCACATCCCCATGTATCTGGGGACATGCCCCTCTTGTGCAAACTATTCTAATTCAAAAACATTCATATCACACTGGCTCCTGCAATCATTTAGTCACTTAAGTAGTCCTACAGGTGACTACTTAGGTAAGTGGCTGAAGGATCAGGCCTCCCCTTAGATATATTTTGAACTTTTATTGGGTATCTGGTGCAGGATAAAGATCCTGGAAGGCAAATAAAAATACATATACGGAAATACTTGGTTTGGGGGTCAGGAACAAAGAAGAGTGTTCAGACCCAGTCCTTATATTTTAAACTTTAATATTTTAAATAAGAAAACCCTGATACTTTGGGTGAAAAGGATTGTCACTAATGATGAACTAAAAATAACCTTCTTTGAAAATAAACCTTATCATCCAATGTTACAAAGGTAACACCATGTCCTATCTTCATTTAGATGCACAACTTGTCAACAAAGCAAGCACTAAACTTTGCTAAGGCTTGATGTTAAATTGCAAATTTCCAGCCCTTTAGCAGCATTTTCTAGCCAGTTACCACACCCCCCATCCTCTACTATTATTTCCTGGTAGTCTCCAACCAATTACCATTGCACCAACTCTCCTCTCATGTGGGATAACAACACGTCTTACTACTTTTCGGGTTACCTGTGGGAAGTAATACATGAAAAGAATCGATTATTTTTTTCCTGATTCTAAAAAGAGAAAGTATGTTAAGAGTAGTTACTTGAATACAAAGACTCATAACAGTGAGGCAATTTGTGATTACTTTTCTTGTGATGACGTTGCCTTCTTCATCAGTAAATTGTTCTTCCGTTACAGATTCACCAGGAATGTTTTTAGCTTCCTCACCCTAGAGAACGTGTTATAAGATTAGCAAAATAACCTATATTCTGCATATTGGTTTCCATACCACTACAAGCAACAAACTCATGCTAAGTTGATTTAGATCAAACAAATAATGTGAAATGTTTTTTGCTTTGTTGTTTTAAATGTATGTCAAGACCAGTGCATTTTAGTACACAAAAATACCCTTAAACCATTTACTTGATTTCCAGCATGTTTTTCTTCTGAGCTAATCCATGCATCAAACTTCTTAACCAACAAGTAAGTAATCTTTAGCAGTGTTAGAATGCAGCTCTGCCTGAGTTGGATGCAGTAACTCACAATAATGTAACGTGTAATAGACATTCTTTAGCAAGCAGCTTTTAAGAGCTCAAAGGCTAACCATATATACATGAAGTTCTACAATCAAAATGATAGGAGGAAATTTGAGATTTTTTTAAAAAAGAACTGTCCTTTGACCAATTGGCTTCAAAGCCTAATGATTTCATACAAGGAAAAACTTCTTGCCTTTTATAAAATGGAGTGAATAAATTAAACTGGTTTTGAAATGGTAGTTTCAAACTACTGCTATGATTTTATCTGACAGACTGGAAAAATCAACACAAGCACTACTTCATGACTTATTGAAATCAACAGGTGTCCTCTCATTGAACTAAATAACTTTTGATCAGGCTTGATGCTTCTGAGTAATGTGGCACTTAAGTCTTTACTTATCCTAAATGTTTCTGCAGATGTGCATATAAACATTTACTTGTGCAAATAGGTAACTGTGACACGGACACCTGTATATAGCTAGGTCTTAGTGCTTTTTTATCCATACATGTCTAAGTGCTTTATAAACTAAGTTGATATTACTATCCCCATTTTGCAGATGAGGAAACTGAAGTACAGGGGAGAAATTACTTTCCTAAGGTCACCTAGAAAACCAATAAATGCATAAATATTTATTTATTCACAATTATTAATGCAGATTCATATACAAACAACTACTGTCAACAAACATCCAGCATACACACTACATTAATATCTGTATACTGAGCCAGCCCAATGTGACTAATATATTTTATTGTTTTCATATACATACCTCAAAAGACTGAAAAAGGAGAAAAAAAAGCACTGAATATGGCCTGAAGGTCAACAAACTAGGGCTCTGTCAAGCCAAGATTTTAAGACTGAAAATGTCTTTTCTCACTGATTAACACTGAGCTCCAGCACCTCAGATTATTTCAACTGCTATGATGGCATCACATAATGAGAACAGCAGTCTTTAAAGTGGGCTGGACTTGAACCACACAGGGCAGCAAACAGAAACCTTTTGGCTAGGGACAGGCATTCAAAAAATCTGAGCCTGAATTGATTCAATCTCTGCAGGTTAGACTAACTTTGCTAGGTTAAATCAGTTTTGTAAGTAGACAGACATCCCAGAAATGAAGGCACATGCCTGCATGGGTCAGGCTAGAAGCTGGGGGATGCTAGAGCAACCCTCCCTCCCCTTGCACACAGATGAGCTATGCGGGGCATGGCCAGACCCTGGCGGGATGCTGTGATTAGGGAGGGTCCCGTCCCATCCCCCCTGCCCCGCTCCTGAACAGCCCAGCAGGGAATGTTTATCACCCTTAACTCCAGTGTTTATCACCCCATTAAAAAAAACACAGGGACATTACCAGGGTTGATAGCTGGTGCACAGGGTTGTATATCACCTTATTTTTTCTACCTTTATTCTTTGTGCCACCGCTCAGAGGTAGCCAGCATGTGGTCTGCTAGCTAATGCTAAGGGGTGAGGGACAGGGAATGCCTGCTTAGCAGAGGAGGGGTGTGGAGCAGAAGCAAGGCAGATGCCTGCAAACTGCCATGTTGCAGCCAGGGAGCAGAGGGGAGGGCCAACCCTGCTGTGGAGCAGAGAGCCCCACCCAGCCCAGAGAGCATGCCGGGATGCTGGGGGAGCCTGATTTAATTTAAACCAGCAAGGGGTCTGGGACAGACATCGCATGAACTGCTTTGAGCCAAATCAGTTAAGTCTGATACTATATTTAAACAGGTTTGTCTCAAACCAGTTTCACCCATTTTCAAACTGGATTATGTGGTTTATCTGTTCTGTTACAGGTTTAAACCAGTTTCTGATCACTTGAACCAGTTTCTGTGTAATGTCTGTCCCTAGCCTTTAAGGCTGTGGGCCAGATTAACCCACTTCAGGTGGTCATGTGAACATGACCTAGCTGCTGCCACCACTATCTCCTCTGGCACAGGGAAAGTGTCCCTAGTGCTGCTTTTTTTCCCTGAGGGAGGATGGGAAAAATCACTCGCATTTGGAACTCTTTCCCACAGTAGCAGGAGAAAGCAGATGCTGCTAAGGTCTCCTGGCTCTAAAGCCCTATATCTGTAGGCTGGATGAAATGAGTTTGTGGGCTGGATCTGGCCCTCAGGAATTTACAGGTGAAAAACAACTTCTTGAATTGCATTCAGGAATGAACTGGAAGCTGGTACATGTCTCAGAACACAGATGCAAGTTTCTCTCTATGTTAAGCTTGCCTAAGTGAATAGGCATCCATATTCTGCATGAGTAGTGCATCTTATGGTGTAGCTCCATGAAGAGACCATTTCAATAGTCCAGTCTCCAAATGACCACGAAGAGTTCCTCTTCTGAAAGAAGAAATCAAACACCTGGCTACACTTAAATTATAAGCTGCACAATGAATGTGAGAAATGCAGAAGTGTGGGTACTCTGCTTTCCCCTTACCTAACATTTTAAAATACATTTGTGAGAACTAATGCGATCAACTTGAAAGCCCATCATATATACAGAAGACAGAAGATATATACTAAAAGAAAATTCAGCTTCAGAGGTACAAAGTATTTGAATTTTCAATTATTTACATTCTACTTTAAGTGCTATTTAAGGATACATGTGACTCCTGAGCAATCACTGTTGATAAAGTCCACCTTGTAGATTTCCCTTGCTTATGAGCAGTTAAAACACATTACATCTGGGCTTACAAATTATAGGAGAAACATATGATTGCACAGACATTACTAACCCTGTGTGGTTATAAGAAAAGGATACTTATCGTATTTACCCAAATCCCAGATGACATCAAATTTAAGATGACCCCCTCAACAATAATCAGATTTTAGATATGGAAAATAAGTTTGTTACAATTTTTCATGTCTAAAAATCTAATTATTGGAGGCTTGTCCTAAATTTGTCCCCATACCACTGCAGCAGAAAAAGATGCAACAGCAGGTGGGGAGGCAGTGGGGGAGTCGAGCAGCCTACCACTTGCCCTCCTGAGCTTGTACCCACCCCCAATGCCTGCCTCCCCCTGCAGTGTCTGTGCTGTCCGGGTACCTGCCCTCCACTACTGCTTGTCCCCCTCAGAATGGCACACCCTGCTGCCTGTCCCCTCTCTGCACTGCCACCGCCTGCATGGTCTGGTCTGAGGCATGGAGCATATGCTGGCTCTGGCTCCTGCCTAGCCAGGCAGCAATGGTTGCAGTGGTGGCAGCTGTGGCCCTGGCTCTGGCCCAGGAACTGCCACTGCCAAAATGACTGCTGTGTGGCCAGGCAGGGATCAGAGCCAGCAAGTGCTCCATGCCCTGTGCTGGAACAGGTAGGTGGTGGGGGCTGGGGAAGAGGCAGTGCAACGGGCAAGTGCAGGGGGAGGAAAGAGGCAGGAAAGAGGCTGCAGCCCTGACTCTGACCACATGCCTAGGTCAGAAGCAGAACCACAGCAGCTGCCTGCCCTCCTCTTCATACTCAAATGCAAGATGAGGGATTTCCCTCCCTATACTGAATGGAGAAAAAAAAGTTGGCTTTGGACCTAAGAAAATACAGTACTAAAAAAATTCTTACTCACTGGCACTTTTGCCTCACTTCTCTATGATAATGAAGCTTTCCAAGCTACAGTACAGTCCCTCAAAGCCTGCTTTGCTCTGGAGACTGACTTACAAAATCCTCAACAATTCTTTATACTTATTTGCAAATTATACATCTTCCCAGGAACTTCCAGATGAATGGGTTTGTACAGTCAGTGCTCCAGTAACATGTCAAACTTCAGCTCTTTGTTCTGTAGAGCTTTCATTTTCATTTACTACTTGCTTTCTAAGTAGAAGAGGAATGGTACAATTTCATTCCAATCTTATCTAATATTTTTAAAGGCAGAGGCAAAGGATGCTGCTGGATCTCAACAGAGACCCCAGGGAGCAAACTGGAATTAAAAAGCAGAAGGAATAAGGTGTAATGAGAAGTATTTAATTTGCAAAAAGCAAGTGCTCTGTGGCAACAAGAGCTGCAAGAAACATCAAATACTCTTTTTCCATTAGTCAAAGCCTCTGTCCCTTCACTCAAGCTTCTCATACTTGTGGTAAATGGGTAGGAACTGTGTCTCTCTTCTTATGATCTCAAATACCTATGACAATATTGAAAGAGATTAAAGGCTTTCATTAAGGTCATTTTCATTAGTGGGTTCTGCCTAATTGGGACATCTTCATGAATCAGATTCTATGCTTCTGTCAGCTGAGCCCCTGTGCTGACTCTAAACTACTGTTTGCAGATGGCTGCTGGAGCCTGAGGAAAGAAATGAGACAAAGATAAAAAGCACAGCACAGAAGAGGAGCAATTCTACCAGTGAGGCAGCATTTGCTGTGGGGATCTAGGTGATGGGTATATTGTGTGCTGCATAAAAAAGCCCTATGTACAAGCTAGGGACTGACATTCAAACAGCCTGAGCCTAAATTGATTCAATCTTTGCAGGTTGGTCTAACCTGGCTAGGTTGAACCAGTCTGCAATCATACAGACATCCCCTCTGGACTGAAGAAATGCAGGCATGTGCCTGCAGTGGCTCAGGCTAGAAGCTGGGGGGGCACTAGAGCAGCCCTTCCTTCCCTTCCAGAGTGCTGAGCTGAGGGAGGGCATGGGTTTGCCTGGCCAGACTCTGGCTGCTGCTGCTCTGTTGTGGGGTCAATGACTGAATAAGCCCCTCCAGCCAGGAGGGAGCTGGCCCTAGCAC